GTAGAATATCATCTAACATAAAGGTCTGCTGAAGGTGTTTGTGTGTGTGTGTGTGTGTGTGTGTGTGTGTGTGTGTGTGCGTGTGTGTGTGTGTGTGTGTGTGCGTGTGTGTTCAGGTCTCTGCTGGACGATGATTTCTTCAGTAAACTGGCAGAAGAGGCGGAGAAAGATGATGAGGTCAGGCTACGCAATTTACTACATTACACTGATGTATTACATATTTTAATAATGTTTATGTTTTTCTTTTGACTTTTGTAATGATTAAATATTTTATTTAGTCCTTATTGTAATTTCAGTTTAAATTTACTTGAATAAAATGTGATGTCTCAGCTCAAATTTAAATATCTGAAGGTAAAATGTAGACTTTTTTAAATTTCAGGTAATATCCATTTTAAACTGATGATATCATAACTGGGAAGTTATTTATTTATAATTAACTTGTGTAACTCATTTTCATTTTTATTAAATTAACCTTGAGTCTACTAAACTGGAAACAAAGCATCTAAACTAGTATTTACTCTCTTATGAAATCTGTTATGTCTCTCAGGGCTCGGAGGTCTCTGAGGCTGACCCCGCCGCTCTGCTGGACAGCATGAAGGTGAAGCAACAGCCTGCTGCTTTCTGATTGGCTGAAATAAGAGCTTAGTTTGACATAAAAGCTATGACATCATTGACTTTGCTTACTTCAGGACATAGATGACATGGACGCGGATCTCTTCGGCTCCAAGAAGAAGAAGAAGAAGCCCAGTTCAGCTCCTCCTCAGAGGAAAGCTGCAAACCCAGGAGATAACACCAAAAGCAGAGGTACATTTCTGAAGATTGAGACTTTAAAAAAAAATGACAATTAATTAATGAATCATTGAGATGTGATACCTCTTTAAACAGGGAGTCCTGCTGTTTATAAAGTCACTTATATTCTCAGAAATAAAAGTACTAAATCTGTCACTGGGGTGGTCCCTTTTCCAAAAGTACATTTGTTTCTAGCAGGTCCGTAAACGCACATATCAATACCTTAAAAGTACAAATGTGTATCTCACAGTACCTTAAAGGTACAGAAGTCTACTCTAAAGGTACTAATTGAATCTTTTGAAAAGGTTCTGCATTTTAATAAATAAAGGTTTTAGTTTAGGATTAGTTTAGATTTAGTTTTGACTAAATTAAAATGTCCTTAAAGTGGTTATGAGTCTTTAAAATGTTTGGAAAGTGTCTTAAAAGGTATTGAATTTAACTCTTTGTTTCCTGTACACTACCTGACAAAAGTCTTGTCGGCGATCCCAGTAGTAGAAGCAACAAATATTAACTTGACTTCTAGTTGATCATCTGAAAAAGTGGCAGAAGGTCGATTTTCCCCATGAATCATCTGTTGAACTGCATCCTAATCTTCACTAATACTGCAGAAGACCTACTGGAACCCGATTCTCACAGAAATCAGTCAAGTTTGGTTAAGGAGAAGTCATGGTTTGGGGTTACATTCAGTATGGGGGCGTGCGAGAGATCTGCAGAGTGGATGATCAACATCAACAGCCTGAGGTATCAAGTCATTTGTGCTGCCCATTACATTAAGAGAGGGCAGGTTCTTCAGGTTCTCATTCTCATACTTCAGCCTCCACATCAAAGCTCCTGAAAGCCTAGAAGGTCAAGGTGCTCCAGGATTGGCCAGTCCAGTCACCTGACATTAACATTATTGAGCATGTCTGGGGTAAGATGAAGGAGGAGGCATTGAAGATGAATCCAGAGAATCGTGATGAACTCTGGGAGTCCTGCAGGAACGCTTTCTTTGCCATTCCAGATGACTTTATTAATGATTTGAGTCATGTCAGAGATGTATGGATGCAGTCCTCCAAGCTCATGATGGAGTCAGACACAATATTCATTGTTTCCACTGCAGCAGGACTTTATATTCTATACTGGACATTATATCTGTTCAGTGACGAGACTTTTGTCTGAGCAAAAGTCAGACCTTGCTGTCCTAATGAAATCATTCAAAATGAAGATCATATTTTATTTTAGTAAAATAAGTGTAATCTAGAGGCCTTTGCCTTTAATATAAGCCACTTCTGATAGCAAATGATCAATTAGAAGTCAAGATATTATTTGCTGTTCATAAAACTTGGATAAGCGTCAAGACTTTTGTCAGGTAGTGGATATATTCTGTATTTTAAACCGTAACAATATGTCAGTATTACTGGGTAGAGTCTAGATAGGATACAGCTGTGGATACACACATCAACACAGCATCATTTTTGTGACAACAATATATAATTACTGCATAACAATAATTAATATTTTTACAGTACTGTGACAGTTATGTTTAGGGTTGGGGTAGAGGTTAAAAAATACAATTAATGGGAAATTTAATAATTATCTTTCAGCCGCAACTGTATCTGGTCTTGCAACAACAGTATTACTGTCCAAATCCTAAATAAAGATGGTGGAATTGCATTGCACAAAAGTGCACAAAACACTTTACGATGTTTTCATTAAAGCACTGGTCAGTTTCTCTGCTTGTCGATCCCATTTTGGACTGCGACAATAAGACTGAAGAGACAAACAGAAATATTTAATCCGACATTTCTTTTGAGGACTTAATTTGAAGTTGGATAAAGGAAATCAATTGCAATATAGCAGAATATTTAAAAGTTGCAAATAATATTGTATTAATATTGTGTATTGTACAAGTATAACACAGGTATCGTGATCATATCGTATCTTGGGGACTCTTGTGATTCCCACCCCTAATATTTTCCAGCCTAGTATCATCCAGCACTCCTTTTTTTAATCCTATTGATCTTATTCTAAAATGCGAAAGTGAGCCCGTTTTCGCGATTGTTTTAGAACTTCAGATTCAAACGACAGAAAACGGTCAAACTACTTGCTCTACAAACAAATGTTTGCATGACTATACAGACCAAGTAGAATAATATAATAAGAAAATATCAGTTTGACAGCGAAACGAGCAGTTTTTAATGTCTAACAATGAATTGAAGTGAATGAGACCGAAAGTCTCGATCCAAAAAGATTAAAATGGCTGCACCCGTTCATCAGCGAAGAATGAGGTGAACAGCCTCCTTTCCACTGCAAATGACAAGCGAAAGACCGGAAGTCATTCATTTCCAAAGGAGAGTAGTGCGGGAGCTGCGTGGAGTTATGATCATCTCCGTATGCGGAAAATTCAGATCCAAATTGAGCTGCGGATCCGTTGAAATATTTGAACTCCTGCGACTAGATGGTATGCGCCTGCGGATATGATGTATTCCAGTGTTGTACAAGCAGGTCCGTGTGCGCGAGGTGAGAAATAGGATTTGTTTTGGTTATTTTTTGAATTAGAAAAAGTCTATATTAACAAAAAACATTTCTATTCATAAATGTAAGTAATAAAGTACTAAAAATATAATTTTTTTACATTATCTCCACATTCCTCCAATATTTTAAGCGGTCTATGAGTTTTTAGTATTCATTCATTCATTCAACCACTGTGAACGCACAGAGAATGTAGGCTCTTGCTTTTGCACTCCTTTATTTCGGACACTGCGAGAACAGCTTCTCTCCCACGGTGCACGTCAGAATTGAAAATTCTGCCTGACTGCCACAAGGGGGCGTATTCCGACAGTCATGTCCAAATGTCGTGTGCAGTGGCAAGGCAGCTTATGTCTTTTTTTTGTGTGTGTGTACAGAAGAGATGGTCACTGAGGAGAAAAAGCCCAGTTCTGCTCCGGCGTCCACAGCGAGAACGTACAAGAAGTTCAGCTTTCTGGGTACGTTTTTTTTAAGAACCACAGCTTCTCCTGACAGCGTTTAATGTCTTCACAAAGGTTTTAAGGACTTTATCTGCTCTATTTTTATGCTGCATATGGTTCAGATGATGAAGGTGGAGGTGTTGATCCTCCTCCTCATCGCCATGATGATGATGAAGGTATCACAACAGGCGAGCAGAGCTTTTAGCAAAAACCCAACGAGAAAACCATCAAATAAAACTGAAGTTGAGCATGACGGCTGTTCTTCATGTTTCACAGATAACATAGACGATTCATTAGATGATTTATTGGATGATCTGGAAGACAAGCAGAAGATGGGGAAGAAAACCGAGCCACCGTCCTCTTCTTCACCAGTCGTTCCTCAGAAAACAGAGACAGGTGAGAGCGGTAAAGCATTAAGAACGATAACTATAAACATAACAATAAATATATTTACATTCACACTGATGAATGATGACGAAGTGTTCATGCATTTCTTTTTGCGTTATACCCTTGTGACCAGCAGATGTCCTCAGTGTGCAGCGTTTCTAGCACATTTGACCAGTGAATCCAGCTCGTGTAATCTATAATCAAACAGCGAATTTAGCAATCGCAGTCAGTTTCGAAACAATATCATTTCTCTACATTTTTATTGTTGTAGACGTGTACTCTGCTGCTGTTTTACGTCCAGAACGACTCTTCATGTCGAGCTTTATTCCGGTACATGTGTGGAGATACGAATGTAGGAGACGGTAAAGCTCATTTTTGATGTCTGTTTTAACAGCTTCTCCAGCAGCTACTGTGAAGAAGAAAGACGATCTGATGTTTGATGATGATGGAGATGATCTGATGGATGCGCTGGGCTTTGGAGAATCACAAAAAACGCATGGAAACGGAGCGACACAGAAGAAGGACAGGTAGGCCTAGATATTATGGTGACAGGTGTCTTTTCAAACTAGTTTTCTATTGGCAGAGAGTGTTTTTACTGCCTGCTGCGCCTCACATTTTTGCAGGAGCTCCGATCATAAATTTGGGGAAATAAGTAGTGAAGAATTAGTTATCTGTAATCACATAATAAATAATAATAACAAAACAAAGAATACATTTTATACGGGCAGCTTAGGCGCCTCTCATATGGAGAATGAAGTCACATGCATTGCTCAGGTGTGAGTTTCTCACAGACTTCAACAGACTGTCAAAGTCTTGACGCTTCTGTGGGTCTCGTCTATCAGATCTGAGCTTTATTTAATATTTTCTATTGGATTCGGGTCAGGTGATTGGCTGGGCCATTCTACAGCTTGATTTACTTTCTCTGAAAGCATCTGCGAGTCTCCTTGGCTGTGTTTCGGATCATTGTCTGGCTGAAATGTCCACCCTGGTTTCATCTTCAGTGTAGATGTTGGACTGAAGCAGCTGATATTCATTTACACTGAGGAAGGGCAGAGGCTTGCTGAAGAACTACTGAGAGATTTCAGCTGCTGTCTGGGCTTTCACTGCCTTTCTACACCTCCCTTTCTTCATGTGTTCAATACTTTCCCCTGCATCATTTCATGTTTTCATGTACACAGAACTTTATTTGTAATCTAACTAGTTTAGTTCTCTTTGCATATATAGATTGCTTTGGTTATTACCAACATCTGGGGATAATTTCAAGTCAACAGCACCTTAAAAAATACATTTTCTAAGAAAAATGGTGACATGTTCAATACTTATTTCCCTCACTGCATGTCAAGCGTTTTCTCATTTTTAAGTGACACTGAAGTTTCTGTGATTTCTGCATCTTTTAGTTTAACTGATCGCCCCCCGAGAGCTCGCACACGTCTGGATGAGCTCTTAGGCCGTGGGACGTCCCCTCGCCTGCTGGAGAGACCAGCAACCGGAGAGAAAAAAGACACGAAACTGACAGAGAAAGAGACAGAGAAACCACCAGAGAAAAACTCAGCGGGGAAAGGTGAAAATCTCAACTAATGCAGACTAAAGCAGATTGCTATGAAAAGCTTTAGAAAGATTCAACTCAAGTTTATTTGCACAGCGCTGTTCACAATAATTACAGTTTCAAAGCAGCTTCACAAAAGGTGCACGTTACTGCATTACAATCAAATTCAGATAAGTTCAGGTTATTAGTTACCATAACCTTATTAGTCATTAATAACTAGCAAATTAAACAGTAGCTAATAGCTTTTAACAGTTAAAATATCATATATAAACATAGTTAACCTGCAGTTATATAGTATATAGGTGATGTCTGTGTGTACATGTTTAACTTCACGCTTGTTTTGCCAACACAACGTGGCGTCTCTGCCGTCTAAACACTGTGACAGTAATGAATATTAATGAAGTTGCTCATTAGAGCGCGCTGATTGGTTTGAACCAAGCCTTACTCATGCATTAATGCATCACACTGTAAGACGTAATAAGACACACTCTGGCACAGACGCCCAGTCTGCATGCTGGAATACACGCTATTATGTCATGACCGTGACGCAGCTTCAAAAATTAGTTTCAAACCGGAAGTACGAATTTGCTTGAAATAACGCAAAAACAACCAATTTACACTTTTTAGTGAAATATAGGTGTCCTAATAGTGTTTTTAGCAGTGTGGGACACATATACGACTGTCAACAGCTCACAACATGTGTTTTGGTGTTTCGTGACCCTTAAAGAAATGCTCAGCTGAGATTTCTGAGATGGTTAGAGGGAAAACGCATCTTTTAACATGAGGGATGATGCCTTAGCGAACGTTTTGCTAACTGCAACAAAACAGACATGAATTATATTTCAAAAATTATTTGAATCGTACTTATTAAGTTAGGAGATTATATGTGAAAGGCATTTGAGTGCTTAGAGATGACCTATAGTAATATATAGTTCATATCTCAGCTAAAGGCAGTAGCACAAACACTAGAACTTATGGAAATGCAGAAACTGAACAACAGTAAATGCAATGCAAGTCACTTTGGACAAAAATCCAGTGAATGAAAGTAATGTTAGACCTTGATTTGAGTGATTAACTGGTGGTCCTGCTGTCTGTAGGCTCTGTGATGGACGAGGAGGACTTCACATTCGGCTCTTATCAGCCCACGATGGGCTCGACTCCAGAGGGCCGTCAGTCCCGCAGACAGTCTGTCAGGTCAGATATTACACACACAATAACATATCAGAGTCTTATTTACAGCTTTTAAAAGTCTAAACACTACTTAATTAACATTATAAGAAATGGCTTGTTAATAATTAACATTGTGAACACTCTGCTTTTTGATGTTGTTGTTGTTTTTGTCATTCAAGTATTGTTTTAGTTTGAATCTGTCATTTTATTGGTATGACTTTTAACATCTGGCTAAGGTAACACCAATGAAAACTAGTGTTTGGGCTAATTTGGGTACATTTACGTTTTAGGATACAAGTGTCAAATCCAGTTCCTGGAGGACCGCAGCTCTGCACAGTTTAGTTCCAACCCTGCTTCAACACACTTACCTGTAAGTTTTAATCAAAACTAAAGGACTCAATTAGTTTGATCAGGTTTGTTTAATTAGGGTTGGAACTAAACCGTGCAGAGCTGCGGCCCCCCCAGGAACTAGATTTGACACTTGTGTTCTAGGGGTTGGTTAATGTACAGATTGTACACTGTCGCTTGTTGTGAAATAAATAAACTGACTTAACTAACACACTCCTGCAAACAATAGTATTACAGTATATTTACTCCAGTTCCGACTATTAACACAACACAACAAGGTGTGCATGAGTGTATACAATAATGAAAATTCATTGAAATAATAAAAACGAAATGATATCGGCAGATTTTACCAACAATATGGTATTAACTATTTTAAACTTTGTGAAAAGTGTAATAAATAGATTTAAGAGCATGAGAATACTTCACAATGTACATGGTAGAACATATTTTTGTAAAAGTATTCTTAAAATATTCTCTTTATTTGCATATATCAACAAAATACAACATAAAAAAATATCAATCGCTTTAAATTATGAACATTAAAGGGCACCTAAGATGAAAATCATCTTTAGAAAGGTGTTTGGACAGAACCGTGTGTAGGTATAGTGTGTCCACTCTCATACTGAGGAGTGCGGTTTCCCCACCCACAGAGTTGATTGACAGCCCTGTAATAACATGTCTTCGTATTAACACATATAATCATATCAACAAGACAGGACGTGTGCAAAAGCAACCGGGATTAAAAGATCTGTTCAGCGCTCTGTGATCACCAATCATCTAATCAAGAGTGAGTTTTACATGTATAAAACCTTTTTTACAGTGATTTACTTCAGCTTTAATTCACCACAGCCGTATGTTAGTACAGTTATAAAAGATGACGCTTCAATCCCGGTTTGTAGACGTTAAATCACGTTTATTTTGTACATTAACAAAACGGAAGTCCATACAGCAGTGGATATTAATATGTATCCTGTAACATTTACCATGCAAAAACAGTGCAGAGTTAAACATGCGCGCTGTGTGTGTGCGTGAGCTTTGTAATGACGTTGTGTGTGACTCATCGTTGCAGAAAGGCTTGAATTAACTCTACAACAAATACATCAAATAATCATTGGGAAAGTTCTTACTGTAGTGTTTCATACAAACGTTACGCGAGATCTGCTTCCATTATGTCTGTCACTGAGCTGTTTATCTGACGCAGCCGAGGTGGAGATTGTTGCACACTCTGACAGGCACATGGGAACAGTGGGTGAGGCGAACTAGCATTAAAGGCACAGGCCACAAAAACAGCTACATGGTGTTCAAAGCAGAAAATCCTAATGTTCTGAAAGCTATAACAAATAATCTGACGGGTGTTTTGGGCTGAAACTTAACAGACACATTCTGGAGACACAAAAGACTTACCTTCATCCTAAACAAGGGGTAAAATAGGTGCCCTTTAATATATTATTATTTATCACAATAGATATTTATAAAAATGTAAAAAGCATGAATATAAAAAGTGTCATACCATTACATATAGATATTTTACCAAAAATAACAATAAATACTTAATAAATTAATTAATTTACTTAATAAATTAATTAAT